GCCTTTCAATCCCAGTCTAACTCGACTCGTCCATCCATTTCCTTATTTGGACATAAGTTGAGCTTGTTGACAATAACAAAATGGCCGCGATGAACTCGAAATGGATGAGAAGATGCAGGGAAGATGCCTGCTTAGTGCATGTAAAAACAAATAAAAAAAGATATAAGATGATTAGTTCTGTCATTTTCTCAAGATCGCCGGGCTGGACAAAAATTGAACGAACGTGTATTTAAAGTTACATCATTTCCAAATCCTCGGTAAGCACTCTGATAGCGTAACTTACTACCAAGTGTTCTGAAGAACGCGTTCTCATATAGTTTGCGTTCTGGAGAACGCTTTTTTCCATTTTTGTGATTCATAACCGTTCCGTATCCGTTCCATTTCCGTTCGGTATCCATTCCATTTCTGTTCAGTATCCATTCTGTATCCGTTTTGTATCCGTTCTGTATCCGTTCTGTACCCGTTCTGTACCCATTCTGTTCGCGTTCTCATACCTGTTCTGTATCCGTTCCGTTCCCGTTCGCAAACGCGTTCCCTGTTAGGTTTCTTCTGATCGGTACTGTAACCTGTTTTCCTGTGGAGGGTCACATTATTTTTGTCAGACATTATGTCCTTCTAGAAAATTATATTGAAAGATCTTTGCTTCTACAACATTCAACATAAGAAAAGAAGTCAATCCATCCTTTTGCTTTGCTGTATTGATTCTCCCACATCAGAAAACTTCCAAATGGCTGACCAAGCTTGAAATCACCCTATAGTGTGCATTGCAAACCCTTGATCATTGACTATGTCACATATGCCTATGGATTGTTCTCTTGTAATGCATGAATCCTTCATACTAGTATCTGATTGGTACCCCAATGCATTTTTTCCCTCTGTACATATAGCTTTCAATTTATTTGGCCCCTTTCCGAAAAAATTGGCCCCTGAAAAAGATCTTCAGGGGCCACTTTGCCCCTCGAGTAAAATTTTCTGGCTGAACGCTGAAATTAATCAAGAATTTTTCATCACTTTGCTTACCTGGATAACTAAGCACTACACACTAACTGTAAAAGCCATGAACCATTTGGTTTTCTGTTAAAATCTCATCTGGAAAACAAGATTAACATCCGTGTTTAGTTCACTGAAACCAATACAACATCTCTTCAACGCTTTCCTTAGCTCTTACTAACCGAGCAGGAGGTCTGTATAGGAGAATCTTGACCGAGGTCGTGAGTACAGACCAAACACAGTGAGGTCTGTACACACGACCGAGGTCAAGATTCTCCCGTACAGACCGACTAAGCTCGGTTAATAAGATAATTATTATATGGCAAATGAGAAAAATTAATTCGTTTAATGTACGTGTAACTGGTTTGTACTAGCTGACAGTTTGCTTGTGAACGGCGATGAGCTGAACTTGAAATAATTCTGCCAAAGTTTGCTCGTCCTCTTTACTTTTTTCTCATCAGTCTTTTTGGTACCTCCATAACTAAATATTGTTGGAAGAAAGTAGTCAATAGTTTTGCATTTTAGTTTGCAACTTTTTCTCTCCAAAATGTAACTGGTCTAGATGCCGGTCTAGATGGGAAAATCCAGACCGCTTTCAATATCGATTTCAGCCAATCAAATTCGTGAATTTGGTAGTTCCCAGTCCTTGTGGGATACAGCCATATAATAAAACTGCATACAAACTTTGCATTTCAAGCAATTTACACGTACTGATGTAAGAAAATTTAAAGGGAGCATGCTCCCAACACAGAAGCACAGTCATATATTTACATGTATGTCACTGCCATCCTCTCACATACAGTGTATATATAAAAGTAGGGAAGGTTTTTTTGGTGGGGGTTTTCTAGTACCACAAACCATTGTCAAAGATTACAATAGAGTAGAGTTTGTTTAATTTACCACTTGTATGCATACAATGTACAAGAGAATTTTGATTTCATAATCTCGCATGAAAGTTATTTCTTGCTTATTTCCAGTCTCTTTTTATATTTCATTCCAAACTCTGCTGCTTATTGGTTCATGTTTAGCATGGCTCTATTACATTATTGGTGCACTTGAGAGTTTGGAGAGCACTAGAAAAGCTGAAATAGACCCTTTTCATAATTTCTGATACCATCTTGCCTTGGGGGCAAACACAGCAAAAATGTATGATTCTCTTGAGTATGGCTTGAATAACTCTTACCCCTTCCTAGATCTTGTCCTCTTCAAACTCCAACATGCATCCATAACTCAATAAAGTCACTTTAACTAATGAACCAATAATTCATCCAAATATAGGCCAAAAACATGAATGCACTGTCCCAGAAAATATTGGTACCAAGCCTATAGAAGGTCATTGGAAATGCAGAAGATAAGCTTCTAAGCATGAAACAAATTATTTAAAATATAAGCTCATTCAACATATTGTGTGGTTCCAGAAAATACCCATACCCCCACAATGGAGGGAATTGGAAATTCCCCAGGGATGAGGGATCAAAGACCCAGGAAATTCTGGAGGGGAGAGGGGTGGGATGGTCAATTTGGTTTCCAGATGCCCTTCAATTCAATATGGATTCAAGTATCAACCTAGCTGTTCAAAAATCCTTCCTTACCTACCAAGTAGATCTTTCACTTGAAAAATAGTAGTTTCAATACTTGTATTTGAATTGCATTATATTTGAAATAAATTTTCTTTCTTCAAAAATCACTTTGGAAGCTAACAAATGCAAAGAACATGCTGTTACCTGGAAATGGCCACCATTACTTGATACCAGTCTACAGTAAGTCACCATGTGGACCGAAAAGCACTGGTGACTAGCCTGGTTTGTTTACACATTGTTCTTGAACGCTGTCGTTTCTTCCATGAAAATGAGTTTCTTTATAAAGGAAGAAATGATGTTACGATTTCACAAACTTGAGAATTTCTTATTCTTGTTTATCTCTGACCATTTGGATGTAATTTTGCTGTAAAATTGGCTTTCGTCACGAGTGTGTTAACGATCGTGTTCACAATAAAAGTATGGTGTCAGTTTCATCCACACTCATCTTATCAGTCCTTCAACGGGGATTGTCCCACATTTACAAAGGGACTTAGTCGTATAGGAAGGTAATCTGTCTGTTTTCTTTGTGTGTATCTTCAGTTATATTATGTTAAAATCGATCAAGAATAAACAGCACTGATGTGTAATGCAGACAGCCGAGTGTTTGGAGCATAACACACTTTCTTGCAAAAACTATTTTTTCCAGGGGGTATAGGGAGTGTACATAATACTTGTGGAAATTCCAGAGGGGATGGGGGGGGCTTACATGAAATGCCCTCCATGGTGGGGGTATGGATATTTTTTAGAACTACATATTGGACATTTGTGCACAAAATATAATTTACAAACTTCTGTCGAAAAGAGGGTGCCTTCTTTTCTCAATTTTCCTTTGCTAATTTATCTGAAAATTAAGAATCCACCTTGAATAAGGATACTCATAGGGCTATTCCATGTTTTATCTGCACCGCTCCCCCAATTGAGGTGCTAGGAAATCTGTAGGAGAGGGGGGGAGTCTTAAAAGGGCCATTCCATTCAATATCCACACTCCCCCTATTGATGAGGTCATTTGACTGCCAACCCCTAAGAAAAAGATCAAAGTGCTGACACAATTTTTTCAAGACCCCTCAGAAAAAAATATGCAAGGTAACCTTGCGACTGTCTAGAAATTTTAGATCTTCCCAATACTGACCCTCAGAAAATCTCAAAAGTGTCTTTGTGACCTTTTCGATTCCTTATACCCCTCAGAAAATTTTGTCTATGGACTGTGACCTTAAGAAATCTTGACCTTCCCTTCTACCCTTTCGAAAATTTTGTCAACAGTGTGGGAGTGGATAAAAATTGGAATAGCCGAAAAGCCGTTTCTCAAGGGGCAACTGTGTTGGTACCTTTGATCCTCTAATAAATTCTGAAGGGAAAGCGTGTTGGCACTTTGATCTTCCTTTCTTGGGATGGGGGGGGGGGGGGGGAGGGGTAGGGAGGGGTGAACGGTTAACTTTTCTGAGGGAGTAAATTCAAAGCTCCTCAATAAGGGGGAAGGGGTGCGGATATTAAATCGAATGACCCCTAGAAATATTGCGCAACATGTTTCTCAGGTTATGTGCCTCTTAAAAGCAGAATAAACTCTGGTCGATACACGTACACATGCAACGTTTATCTCCTATCTTATTACCTAGTCAAGTATTTATCCAATCAGACTGTAAGGTCATCACAACGCAAAACAATTTACAAGCGCGCTTACCTCAGCTTACATCTACCCCGGGCATGTAAATTCGTCCAGGGACATGGACAGGCCTCAGAGGTTAACAAACACGTCTCCACATTCCACCTCCTGGTTCCGACAAGCAAAAAAAGTAAAAAAAAGTTAGCTTATGACCCAGATCAAGTAATATTACTGGTTCAAGCTGTTTAGAGACAAAGAAAAAACTTTTGAAATTACGATAAACTCACATTTTCCATTATTTTTCTTGCACACGTGCCAAAATGGCGCAGACGAACTACACTCGCAAAGATCACTGGGTAACCCTCGTGTAAGAAAACACGAAACGACTCCTAGTCTTGCTGCTCTGTGATTGGCCCAGTCATCTTTGCGAGTGGCCATGGATAATGAAAGTGCATGCTGGTTTCATTTTTTAAGTACATGTACTTAGCAACGGTAGAGATGCTCGAAATATATAGTTTCTTCTTTTGTGCCACTATTTGACCCCTGTGTAAATACTTTCGATCGTTGTCCTCTTCAGCGCAATACAACACAATACAATACATTGTAATGCAATGCAATGCAATGCAATGCAATGCAATACTTTATTTACACACGTCACGTCTAAGAGCTATACAAGCCCGTTCAAAATACGTACGATATTCTCTGACTCTTCCTTGAGCTTGTTGTATGAAACCGGGCTTTCAGCCTCTAAAAGAAGATTGCACAGTTCTTCAAAACGTCTTCTTCTCTTAACTTTCGAGCCTCCCGGTTCCGACAATCTTTGAAAAGAAATTCAAAGTCTTGACTCTTTCCAGGGCGTGGGGACCAATAGGCCCTTTTCATCATCCGGTCACATGGTACAAAACCACACATGCTGGGACGTAAGTTGCACAGTGGGACTTCCAAAGCAAAGCAACTCGTACCAGTCCACCTTGATCTGCCTTTGTTTTGGAAGTCCCACAGTGCAACTTGCGTCCCAGCATGTGTGATTTTTTACCATGTGATTGTCGCAAACCCTCCATATTTGACCCCGCCAAGTCGGTAACCTACCCACGAGGATAAAAGAAATACTTCTCATTTCGACTTTCCTTCTTTAGAAGTTCGTTAAAGTTGTTCCAAAAAAGCTCGACAGTGCAAGAGTAGCTAGAGTCTTCATTTTCACATTCCGATGTGGCGAAAGGTATATTTCTTCTGAGAAGGGGATGATAGACGCTAGCAGTCGATAAAACCAAACCTTTGCATCTCTTTACCTTCTCGTCGAAAAAAACAATTTCTTGACTCAAGACATGGTTTTTCAGTTCTTACCACTAGGTGCGAATTTTTCTTTAAACTTATACTGGTCTTAAAATCAAATGACGGCCTATCAGGATTACCACACCGGTCATTTAATTTATAAACAATGGGTCGGAACAGGTGTTTTAAAAATATCATTGAAGATAGGTCTACCAACGATCGTCCTTTATTGGTCTATCAAAAAGTTTATTTCAGGTTTTTTTTGTTTATGATTACTTTTTTTGCGTGACCCGCGCTGATTACCCGCGACCAGCACGGCTTACCCGTGACCCGCGCTGATTACCCGCGACCCGCGATCCGTGCTGATTAGACACTCCTTTCAAAATTCCCCAGTTATTTTTATTGGCGGTGATCATGCTCAGCTCTAATGGTTACACCAAATCATGTCCTGTAACATAATATATAGATTTAGCCAGGCCTAAAAGCGGCGCTTCTGATTGCAATAACTGACCCTATTATCGAACTGCAGCGAATACTGTCCAAATAAAAGTACAAATATACAGCGATGTAGTACAGTAGAAAATCTGTTTGGCGCACAGGTCGGCGCGCGCGCGCAAAACTATCACATTCTCCCTCTTTCATTGATATATTTATTGACTACAGCAGTTGGATAATAAATTTCTTATTAGACGTTTTGGTGTGTAGTATCGCTTTATATTTTCACTCTTTGTTTGTATTTTGAATCGCCCTACGGGCTCGTCAAAATACGGCACAACTCGTAAAAATATACAGCGATACTACACACCAAAACATCTAATAAGATATATATATATATAAAGGAAAAAGAGAATTACTTTTTCTTGGATCAGAAATTCAAAAAATGATCAATTGTGGGCATGTAATTGTTCAGCGTGTGGTTTTGCTATATTTTTCCAGTATAACAAACTATACCCCACAAACCTAACCAAGATTGTAGAAATTACGTATGCAACAGATCAGGGACTTTCCAAGAGACGATTGTGCGAGAAATATGTCAGAAGAAAAGTCGACAAGGCGCCAGGGGTTAATTTGCTCCGAAATTTCGCCTTTGCGAGTACTCCCTCCTCCTTCTCCCCCCAAAACTAACCTGACTTGAGCCCGCGATTCAATTAGAAACTTGTAACTGGTCAGCGGTCAACTTAAAAAAAACACGCAACCTCTATGAGCTCTAAGCCTGAGCCCGCGATATGGCCACGTGATACTGGTCAGCGTATAGCTTGTGTGAAGTAACTTGAAATGTTTGTTTGCATATTTTATTTAGCGCGTTGGAAGGCAGATTGAGCAGCCTGGGTTTGTCCAAAATGTTCAAATGTTATTGCTTATAGTAGTCAACTGCGCTTAGCTACACCTAGCGAGTTAATTCGCGGGCATGCCACTTAAACTGAAAGAAACAAATATATGTCAACTAAACCTATTAGGAAAACAGACCAGTTGTCTATTTACAAGGTTCACCGAGGACTTCAGTGATCGAGGGTCCACTCAGAAACAACTCCAGCTAAGTGATCAGAGTAGGACTTGAATCCGCGGCCTCCGCATTTCAAGTCCGGCGCCCTAACCAATAACTTCAATAGCCCTGGGTATCGCGTTGTGTTCTTGGACACTCAACTCTTCCATTCCCTCTCTCCATCAAGGCAGAATAATGGTATCGGGAAATCATAAGGCCACCAGGAAAAAGCCTTGATAGGGAAGGACTAGCACAAACTAGTAGCTCATGAACTAGCATCCCATCGAGTGGGTGAAGTGGTAATAATTCTAATTGTTGTATGGCTAACTTCCCGAGCGGGCAAGTTAAGCCAAATTTTGCGCTGTGATAGGCTACCCGAGCGGGCAAGATGGCGCTATTTTACCCGCTCGGGATTACCCGCTGCGTACCGCAAGAAAAATGCGTTCCAGTTTCCATATAATATAGTGACAAACCTTGTTCGGTGGAGATGACTGGATATTGGTCTCTTTCTTTTTTTGCGTGTTTATGGACCTCGCAACCGTAGTAAAAAAAAAAAAGATAACTAAACTTGTTCAAATCCAGCCATCTAGCTTGACATAACAAGCTTGTTCAATAGCCCACACTTGCTTCATGCTGTGGAAACCAGAAGACAGCGGAAGTGTGGTTTACTTCATCAAGAGCGCGGGACAATAATTTCAAATTTTTAGACTTAATTGTTTTTTTTTCTTTTGCTAAGTCTATCCTATTAGTTCAATTTACATATACATAAGTGATTAACTTTAATTAGTTACCTATTCATTAATTAATTCATTAATCAATTAATTGAGTTGTACATAGAATTTTTTAATTAACTTAATTTTTTAATAGTTCCTATCATTATTCCGAAAAGCCCCTTTGAGACAAATAAAGTATGTATGTAGATATATTTACGTATGTAAATGCCAAATTCTACTTTATTTAGATAACTTTATATTTGAAAGAAAGACTGAAATAATTGTGTCTTCTCCTTGTCTTCTTCTTTAGAGAAACTTCTCTTACTTTCTCTTCTCTGCATCTATCAGCTTATGGGTAACGTGCCAAACCTTAAACGGCCTTTTGGCCTTTTCCAAATTCTTCAAAGCCCTTCTAGTTTCTTAGTCTGCAGGCACAGGGACAATATATTAGGATAAGGCATGATCAAATTTATAGCTACAAAGGTACCGCTACGCTCCTTTTAGATAAGATAACTGATTTAAGCTTCAATCATTTGCAGCTTAGTTTCCTAGCACAAAAGAACAAAACTAAATTATCTTTATCACTGATAAAATTTATTCCTATCATCTGCTCTTGAACTTAAGTAAACTACAAATAGCTGAAACATACGACGATGTTAGTAATTCGTGGTCCCTCTTGATATAGTTACAACTTATGGTAAACTTACTATATAAAGGAAATTAAGTAATTAACCAAAATCTACTAAACACAAACCTATTTCTGCACAAGTGATTAGTACACAAACGATCGAAGCAGTATTTACGTTATATAGCCCATTCTAATTACCAAAAAAAGGGCGCTATTTTTTAGATTGAATAAATACTTAACTTCTGTGGGTATCTAAAACAACAGTGTTTCTCAGTTTTATCGTCCATAATGAGTTGAGTTCGGTTCTATATGACTGAGTCATGAAGGTTTTGCTATCCATTTCTTTTATCGTACGACAACTTTACGTTCTGCTGGCCTAAATATCTTGACTGTGTCTGTTTTAACTACTAAAACCACTACCACCATCACTACCACCAACACTACCACCATCACTACCACCAACACTACCACCAACACTACCACCAACACTACCACCATCACTACCACCATCACTACCACCATCACTACCACTACCACAACCCCCACATCCACCACACCCACCACAACCCCCACAACCACCACAACCACCGCAACCACCGCAACCCCCACACCCACCCGAGTTGGTCGGTAAACTGTCGGCATAGTACCCTGCTGCCACTACAAGGATGAGGTCCTCGTTGCGGATCCTGCTTGGCTTGCTGCGCAGGCCTGACGACACCGCTGATGGTTTCAAGTTGTTGGTCCTTTCTCTCGGGGAATATGGCTGACACAACAGATGAAGAATGGCTACTGAAAATCCGAGCGCAATTGCTTCCGGTACGTCATGCACCTCTGGTGGAAACGAAATCTCGCTCGTTCGAAGGTTAACGTCGACTGCTATCTTCTTGCCCAGAAGGCCTATCGAGAACTTGTCTCCTCGTTTCTCTACGTGTTTCCACTCATACGTTCCAAAAAGAGAAAAGAACTTGATGGACAGACGTCCAGGCTGGCCCATTGTACCCGGAGTTCCCTTGACACCGTGCTTCTCGGGCGTTCCTTTCACCCCAGGCACACCAGGAACACCCCTAACAAACCCCTCCCATTTGCCAACGCAGATACCCCAGTTTTGGCTCCCTCTTATAAGGATTGCTCTTTCTCCTGCCTTCTCATTCATGGTGCAGCATTTCTCTGGATTATTCACTTGCTCTCTCGTTGGAATTACGTCACTCTGGATGAGATGCGCAGTGCTTACCACTCGCCCAGCACGGTTGATGACCTCCGCATAAGAGAACAGCAGCTGAGCGGAGTGCATAACTCGGCAGGTGAACACTTCTCGCTTGCCATAGTCGAATATCCGATGCACTGACAATGCGCAAGGTGCTGAAGATTGAGCTAGAGACAGCGGAGAAAGGATTAGCGTTGGCGAGCTCAAAATCTGGGCAGGATGCTGCACTGTGCTGAAATTCTTTTCTGGTATGACCGTGAAGTGGTAATTAACACGTCTAGTTGTAGTAAACCGAACGATGATATTATCAGCAATCACTAATTCGTGGTTTTGTGCTTCAGTCTCCACGGGGCCTCCGTTGGGGTCTCCAACACTCCCCAACCCATAGTGGGCAGATACATCGAGTGGCTGTGTTACGCAGGGGCAACGCCTTTGTTGGTAAATATGAACCTGGTCGAGTAAAAATGAAAGGAAACCTGTTGAATGAGTTGTTTGTGCCCATAAATCTCTCCAAGGTCATTGCAACCGCTTATAAGGGTGTTTCTGTATACGATAATGATGAATTTTTCGCTTTCAAAGTGACTGAGTATACAAAACACTGTAACAAAGCTGGTGATGTTTTGACCTCTCTGGTCAAAGATGGTTAAAAAAAACACTGATAATTATCATTCCTCCCCAGGTGAAAATTTTAATCTCTTTAGTGGGGAGTTGTTCGCAAAAGGTAACTTCCGCACTCCTAAAGCGAACACTCGAGCTGCGAAAGAGGCGGAATTTTTAAACCCAAAATTCCAAACGTTAAGACCAGAGCCAAAATAAGTTCAACGACTTAGAACTTGACAATAAATTTGACAGTTACTTGTGATAATACATCGTTCGTGGCTAGTCTAACGCAACTCGTTTTGTCCCGGCCAAGGGACTCATCAGAGACCTTTCTGCTTGGCAAGCTCGTTGAGCATCGCGCCCAAAGTCCCGTTCGCTAACGAAATGATGACAGCAATCTCGCCTTATATCGCATATGGATTCCCGACCGCACAAATTCACGAGTGAAAATTGACAATAAAGCTGACAGTTACTCGACTAGCCACGAACAATGCATTATCACAAGTAGTGTCAACTTTATTCTTGTAAATTTTCACTCGTGATTTTGTGCGGTCGGGAATCCTTATGCGATATAAGGCGAGATTCCTGCCATCATTTTGTTAGCGAACGGGACTTTGGGCGCGATGCCCAACGAGTTTGCCAAGCAGAAAGGTCTCTGATGAGTCCCTTGGCCGGGACGAAACGAGCTGCGTAAGACTAGCCACGAACAATGACTTAGAAGTCTGCGTCGGGCAAGTGGTCCATGCCACCGGAACTTTCCCCGTTTTCTGTAGTATTGCGCGACCAGGTGTATTTCTAGCCCACGTTAGAGCGATACTGGTCCATCACAAGACTACCCCCACCCTCCCAACCCCAATCCCATTCCCTTCTTTCTTTCTAACGATAACAATAAATTCGCCTGTAACCATCTAGAGAGGCATTGTGAGAGTTTAAAAGTGTTGTATCCGGTCCTGTCCAACAGGATAACGATGGTGCTCGCTCGATTCGGAGTTTAGCAGGCGCTAATTAAGCCAAAGGTCCCTTTTTCCTCGCCATGTCACAAGAAATCTCATTGTCATTTGTGGTGTAATTTAACGTGGAAATGAAACTGATACTATCTTTTGACTTAAAAATAAAAACCATGAGTTAGTCTATTTTGTCATCCCCTACCCGATGTATTTCACTCAAAACAAGTCGGCAGAAAATTCCCATCTCAAAATGGTCCTCATCAAATTTAAACCCCCAAATTACCTCCTTCTTACGCCCCNCCCCCCCCCACCTCTCCCCCTTGGGCTTTTTTTAATCAATGTTCGGGGTTTCCTGATAGCATGCCAACATCTCCCGTTTAACGAGAAAAAGGCTTAAATTGTAAACTCTATGGATATTGATAAAACAGTTCCACTCATTGTTTCATTCTTGGAACTTGAAAGCCCTGATAAGCCTTAATTGTTTAACCTTATTCAGATTGGAGGTGCAGATAGTGCCGGTGCTGACGTTGACTGCTTATAACTTTTCAATATTCAAGAAAAAGCTACCAATTTATCTAAAGCTATCTGAGGCTATCTAAGAACAATTTGGTATGACGTATACTTGTACTCTAAACTTGTAGTTCGTTTCTGCTAACAGGTATTTCGACAGGCATGGTTTTCAAATTTGAAGTTTTCTTGTACTTATTAACCTCTCATTTAGTTCCCTTACCCGAAGGCCGTTGTTTTCCATTGCGTTAAACTTGAACGTCGATAGCGCATTAATAGAATTGTACAAACTCGCAGCAGGTCCACGAACACGCCTCTTAAGAACTTGTTCACCATTTATGACATCAATTTTGACTGTGTACGATTTAGATTCTGGGAGGCCTTCAACTTCTAGCCGAGTCAGCTTCACGGTGAACTCAGGCGCTGCCACTCCAATGAAATCCATCGGTTCAGCTTGGACGCTTGTCGAAAGCGGGGGCTCCCCACGGAACATGACGCCCCTCACTGCAAATTCCTGACCAATTTCTTTCCATTTCTGTCGCGTTGTTTCGTAAGACCTTGATAGCTTTGAGCCAGGCCGGCGGTCGTTCACAGAATCATTGTGGTTGAGCACCTTTCCTAGGACTTTAGCGGTGTCCTTCTGGTATATCAGCGGATGTACCTGATGCGCATGCCAAATGAGGTCAAAGTCGTAGCATGGTACGAAGAACAGATCTGGATTTTCTTGTTTGAGAACGAGGTGCTGTTTATATCGGTCCAATGCTCTGCTCAAGAGCTTATAGTCCCCATAATGAGGTAAAGAGACCTGATAGTAAAACACCCTCTGCCGACCGCAGGCCGCTGTTATGTCATACTCAATTTTCGACTCAAAATCAGGCGTTTTATCAACAGAGGTCGTCAGGTCAACTTCAAAAGGTTCACTAGGATAAAACTGCTTCCATAAATTCCTGGCTCTTTCGAGTCCTCTTGTACGTTGTTCTCCGACTAGGATCTTATGATCCACCAGAGTTGAAACAACTTAATTGCAGTCCTTTTCGTAACTGATAGGCGACAACATGTGTACATGCCACACCCAGGCAATGTCGAGAGGTGCTGCGATGTCTTCAGTGACGGACGACTGAGCAGCCAGTGACAACCAGAACAGTTCATATCTAAAGGCATTAAAGACACGGTACGTCAGACCGAGAGAGAGTCATTTTATAAACCTGCATTGCATGCATTTACTTAAAGACATGATTTAAAAGAGCAACTGCAATGCTTTATAATTTTTACTACAAATAGCGTTATTGAGAGGACATTTGTAAAATACCTATGTTGCAGGCAGTCATGATGATCAAACGTTCAAACTGGAAACCTCCGCAAGCCGTAAGATAATTATAGGTTGAAAATTGTTTAGCTTGATTACCAGTTACACTGAGTAATTTATTCACGGGTACCGGTACGTGGAACAGTGGTGGACAAGTGGTACAGAAATCTCCAAAGGGGTAGGATCTGCAAGCAGCCTGTTGCTTTGAATTAAATCGTGAATAATTTTAACTTTATGTAGCTAAGGTATATTTTAATGTGCAAATAGTGTCCCCAATTATTGTTTTCAGCTAAATATCATTGACACTTGAATAAAGTCATTCATTCATTCACGCATTCATTCATTCATTCATGCATTCATATGCATGCACTCATGCTTTCTTGCATTCATGCATTCATTGCAGTCTGAAATTGCAGTGTGATCGCAGCAAGACGTACATGTGTGAGGGGAACCTTAAGGATATGCAATGATTAGACTTGAAATTGACATCATTTGCCTAACTTGACGTAGACACACCTCCTGATTGCATTCTGAACGTGTGGTCCAGCATACAGGCTTGGATAGGCGTCAACGAGCTGTAAGAACTGACGGTGTTTAAGGGCTGCTTCCACCAGATCGATGCTAAATTGGATCGTCTTCTCTGTCATCACTATTTCCGCCGATTCACTTCACTAAACAGGAAAGAAACAATGACACGAATTTGGCTTCCGCAACTGACAGTTATGGAAAGGACGGTGGAATGAAGAGACGTGCAAGTTTTTCCTAAAAGTTTTGCAGGGTACTAATATTGTAATCAAATTTCTGTCGTACTGATTTTCAATCAGTTAGATTTGCCGTCCCCTGGAAACATCGCTTACTAGAGTTCTCACACAGTTGTACATGTTGTGTCGCTGTATCTGGCATTTTATTGCTATGCTTGCTTGAAAAATATTACAACTCTGTTGAAAGACCACGGTTAACCACCATGTTACAAAGTGTAACCATGCGATACAATCCCCTAAAATGGCATCAGTGTGGAAATTCAGAAGGCTATCACGCACACTCATTCTTAATATTAGCCGGTGTATTCAGTCGTTCCAGTCAATTGTTTTTGCTGCGTCATTTTCTGAGCCCAAACAACTTGAGAAAACAGACACTAGTGTAGTTTTAACACCAAGGACTAGCCTTAATTTTGGCTGCTGGTGGCCAGCGGCTGTCTTTTTACCTATTATACTACGTCTATTCACAATCCCAACGTTCAAGAGAAAAACTACGGTAATTTTCTAACGACGATGTGATTTATTGAACCATAATGCAACCATGAAATAGAGCCCTCTAAACTTGCATCTAAACTGTACAAAAGCTAATATACACACCAAGAGGCGATTTTCACTAAGTTCCGATGCAACAATTGTGCATATTACACTACCCACCAAAGCTCTACGTTCAAGAGAAAATATTTGGTAAATTCCTATAGTGATGACAGTGACTTATTGAAACGTTCAACAGAAATCTTCGAGACATCAAGCAAATCAAGGTGAGATAGTACATAGTAAACCATTTAACGTACCCGTTACCCTCGAGACACTGTTTCGTCAAACTGGTACTCTGGGTGCCAGACGAATTTTTTTCCAAGGTTCCAAGAGAACGCCGTGCTGGCGTCTGAGATAGAGCCCTGTAAACTGGCCTCAGTGTCGACAAAGCTATAGCGCGTGCTTATTCTTAATATTGCCAAGTCGGTCCCAGTCGTTCCAGTCAATTGCTTTTGCTGCGTCATTTTCTGTAGTAGTTTCAACACTGAAGACTGGCTTTAATTGTCCGCTCCAGTTGGCCACCCCTGGTTTTTCACATGTTAAACGACGTACTCAAGTCCAACGTTTAAGAGAAAAACTAGGATAATTTTCTAATTACGATGTGATTTGTTGAAGAATGGTGTAACCATGAGATTGAGCCCTCTAAACTTGCATCAACGGTGTTGAAATTCACACACTCATCAGTCTTAATATTGGCCGGTGTATTCAGTCGTTCCAGTCAATTGTTTTTGCTGCGTCATTTTCTGTGCTCAAACACATTTACGGCAACTTGCGAATCTATTTTATGGTATCAAACATGACTGCAAAAGTTGGATTTGCTTTTGGGGGCGCAGTATGGTTTATAAGAAACGGCTACTTCATTTGGAAAAAGTATCAGTCATTTTTACATCACGTAGTACTTCGCTTAGATCAGTTCAGTTTGACCGACCGTACGCGGAACAGGTCGTTCGAGAAACTAGAAATACAGTGCGACCAAGCTTATGCTACTAGAGATTTCTGTAGAAAGCTGAGGGACCTGACCAAGGAGGCTGTTCTTTACTATCATTGCGAAATATTTGCGTTGAAGTAATTTGAAACCTCTCAATGTTGAACGATCGAGGTAAGATTTCTGCACTGTAATGGCTAAAACCCGTACATAAAGTTTATGCATGCTCACCTTTCGTAGGGTCGTGGGTAACCGTTTAGAAATTAAAATGGTTAACAAAAATTAAGAGAAGAAAAAGATAAGAAAAAACTTGAATAGGTTCTCCAAATATTTACAGTGAACAGTTTTCGTCGCGCATTTTGCGGCCTGCTGGAGTTGCAAAAGGAAGCATTCATTTCATTTTTTAACCCGCAGCCCAGGTTTGAACAACAGCTGTGTCAGGTAACATGACTTGACGCAACTTCAGATATTTGTTTGTATTTTTATTTAGCGTGTTGAATTGGAAGGCAGATTGAGCCTAAGATTCGAAAAAAAAAAGTTCAAATGCTGTTGTTTATAGTGGTCAGTGCGCTTAGCTACACCTACATGTAGCTAGTTCACGTGCATACCACTTAAGCTGATAGAAACAAATATACATGAACTAATAACCTAGTAGGAAAACAGACCAGTTGGCTATTTACAAGGTTCGCCGAGGAGTTGATCAAGGGGCTACTCAGAAAAAACTCCAGCTAAGTGATCAGAACGGGACTTGAATCCGCGACCTCCGCGTTTAAGTCCGGCGCCCTAACCAATAATCTCAATAGCTGTGGTTATTGCGTTATGTTCTTGGATCGATAAGAAACTTTACCGTTACATTCCCTCTCTCCATCAAGGAAAAATAATGGTATCGGGAAACGACAAGACAACCAGGCAAAAACCTTGAAGGGGGGGAGGAGGGGGAGGGACTAGCACGAACTAGCAGCTTATAAACTAGCATCCCATCGAGGGGGCCGAAGTGACAATGATTCTAATTAGTATATACAGAACCAATGGATAGTGCTTTCCGCGCATTCTGATTCGTTACTCAAACTCGGAATAGTATTTGCTATTCCTAGCTCGCGCGGCGAAGGTCACATTTTGTGCTCGAACCTACGCAATAAAAGCCTTTTTGGCAGTCTCCTGAGTCAATTTTTGCAGATGTTTTATCCTACTCGGCTACTGGTTTGGTACATACTAAACAATTATTCCCCTCAGTGTCGGTGGCTAGTGGTGGGTATTTACCTCACCGCTTCGCGGCTCGGTAAATATCCACCCCTCCCCCTCCCCCCTGTTTTACCCGCTCAATTTTCGCGTGGTAATTCTTTGCTCCCGAAACCAACGGAAACGCTTGCTACGCAGGCTAGGATAAGGCATGATCACACTTATAGATACAAAGGTTCCGCTACTCCCCTTATAGATAAGAAAACTTATTTTAGCTCCAATCATTTGCAGTTTAATTTCCTGTCACAATAGAACAACTGACAAAATTGAATTGCCTCTATAACTGATAAAATTATCATCTGCTCCTGATCCTAAGTCAAATAAAAATAAATGAAACATTTGACATATTGTTAGTAATTCTTGATCCCTCTTGATATAGTTACCACATGTGGTAAACTTACTATATAAAGGAAATAAAGTAATTAACCAAAATTTACTAAATACCGACTTATTTTTGCAAAAGTGATCAGTGTATAAAGGATTGAAGCCATATTCACATTGTTTTGCCCATCCTAACTATTAAAGGAAGTGGCGCTACTTTTTGCATTTCATAACTACTTAACTAGTGCGGGCATCTATAATAACATTGCTACACTGTTTTATATTCCATAATGAGTTGAGATCGTTTCTACATGGCTAAGTCATGAGTGTCTTGCTATCATTAATATTATCGTATGATGAAACGTTACGTTTTGTTAGTCTTGATATATTGACTGCGTCTGCTTTAATCTCCGCATCCCCCACAACCACAGCCGCCGCATCCACCACAACCACCAGTTCCACCAAAACTATCATCTTCATCAAAACTAACACCTTCACCAAGAATAACCCTTCTCTGAACACCTCCGGGAAAACTAAAGCCTCCACCACATCCACCACATCCACCACAACCACCACAACCACCGCACGCACCTCCCCCAATTTCATACTTGATATAAGAGTTGGTCGGTACATTGTCAGCATAGTACCCTGCTGCCACCACAAGCCTGAGGTCCTCAATGCGGATTCTGCGTGGTTTGCTGATGTTGTTTGACACAGCTGCTGATGGTTTCATGTAGTTGGTCCTTTGTATCGGGCAATACGGCTGGCACAAAAGATGAAGAATGGCTATTGAAAATCCAAGGGCAATTGCTTCCGGTATGTAATGCACCTCTTGTGAAAAAGAAATCGTGCCACGTTTCAGGTCAACTTGGACCTTTTTCTTCCTGCCCACGAGGCCTATCGAGAACTTGTCTCGCCGTCGTTTCTTGACGTATTTCCACTCACGCTTTCCAAAAAGAGAGAAGAACTTTATGGAAAGACGTCCAGGCGTGCCAAGCACACCAGTAACACCTCTACGAAACCCTTTCCATTTGCCAACGCAGATACCCCAGTCTTGGCTTCCTCTTATAAGGATTGCTCTTTCTCCTGCCATCTCATCCATGGTGCAACATTTCTCCGGATTGTTCACTTGCTCTCTCGTCGGAATTACGTCACCCCGGATGAGATGCGCGGTGCTTACAACGCGGCCAGCATGGTCAATGACCTCCACAGAAGAGAACAGCAGCTGAGCGGAGTGCATAACTCGGCAGGTGAATGCCTCTCGTTCGTTAAAGTCGAGTAACCGATGTACTGACAATGAGCAAGGTGCTGAAGATTGAGCGAGAGACAGCGGAGAAAGGATTAGCGTTGGCGAGCTCAAGATCTGGGCAGGATGCTGTACTGTGCTGAAATTTTTCTCGGGTATCACCCAGAAGTAATACTTATAAGGTCTAGGTGAATTGGCCACGGTAGTAAACCGAACGATGACACTATCAGCAATCGTTAATACGTGGGTTACTGGTTTAGGCTCCACGGTGCTTTTGTGGGTATCACTGCCGAGAAGATGGCTCCAGAACTCGTAGTAGGCAGATTTATCGAACGTCTGCGAGAACAAGGAGTACCTTTCATGCCGGTAAATACGAACCTGATCGATAAAAAAATTGAAATAAATCTGTTTAATATAGGTTTCGTCGATGAATCTCTATAAAGTTATTACAACTTACTTATAACTGATGATGATGATGAATTTGTCGCTCCCAAAGTGACTAAATTCACTCCACTATAACAAGGTATATAAAAAGGTAGGCCGGATCTAATAAATTGAGGTATACGAAAGGATAGGGAAATCGGAGTATCTTTATTCCGCTGATATCGGCAAACATGCCATCGCAGTTGCATGATTTTGTGGCGCAATAAATCACCCCTATGTCAAATGCCTGATAGATGTTAATTCTCGGTTGAGAACAATAACTTACAAATTTACACTTCCCGAGGTTACTTACGACAGGCGATAATCAGAGGACGTCAAGTTAACGAATTCTATTGGATACGGTTAATTAGATTGGAAATTCTCAGCGAAAAATCACTCGGCCGTGAAAGGTCAAACTCTCTGGCTTGATCGGTAGTCCCTACTTTCGCGGGCCTCTCACCCCCAGGATTTCACGCGGCCAGTTTTTCCTCGCGATTTATTTACGGTCTCGCTCGACGGACTACGCGAAAAATTGGCTACCAGTAGTCTGTCATAGGACATTTAAAAGAGTGGTTTCGTCCAAATTCTGTAATATTTTCGGATTTGTAATCTTGCCATGAATTTTTTTAAGTCGGCGTGTATCCTAGGCAACCAAAATGACTTAAGGTGGCTCCCTATAGTTTTACGATTGCACGCGCGCATAGGACGAAAGCTCAAGTAATCTGCGCCTGCTCAAAGCAACACGTAAAGCCCCGGCCAAACGATCGCGACAGTTCAACGCAACACATCGCAACATTGTTGGGCGCAACATGTTGCGTGCGTTTGGTCACCCTATTGCGACGTGTTGCGACATGTTGGGAGTTGAAAATCGAACTAGTGCGCATGCCCTGGCTCAACATTGTTGCACGAACCTGGCCAAACGACTAAAGCATCATGCAACATCCACAAATGTTGCTTGAAAAATTGGACCATCTTCAAATTTGAGCCAACAACATGCACCCAACATGTCGCAACACGTCGCAACATGGTGGTCAAACGCGCGCAACATGTTGCGCCCAACAATCTTGCGATATGTTGCGTTGAAATGTTGCGATCGTTTGGCCGGGCTTAAGCCTTTTCGATTTTTATGACGTCAAAAAGCACAAAAAGCAAAACTGACATGGAATTTTCTCGCGTTTCCTTCGGTGATTTTATTTTTTAAATTTGGGTCCGCTGTAACCAAATGCGATTCCTATCAGTAAAATACCCTATTTTTTAAAAAATCTCTCAGAGTTAATCTAATATAGTTAGAAGAAAGACAAATTACAGAATATTGGAAAAACCGTCTGAACAACCTTAGGAGTATGGAATGGTCTTTGCGAGTGTTTGCGAGCATGCGAGCAGTGCGTTTATTTTTGCCAGCACGAGTAGTGATCAAAATTTATCTTGCGAGCAGCGAGCAATTCATAAATCTTCCGCTACCCGCAATCTCTATTTTATTAAAAGGAAACGTTGTTTTTGCGCCAGTTATAATCTAAAAGCATTCCGAGTTTCGGATTCAAACATCGACAAACTGGTTTCCCGCTGATTGACTGAAAAAGGTTCAATGCAAGGAAGCTTCGAATTCGTTTACAGACTTCTAGGACCTAGCCATGCCAATTAAAGCCATGTAGGTGTGACGAGTTCTGAAGGTCGAATAGTAATATATAGTAATATTCTTCATATCTTCATGTCTCTACATTACTTTCTATCTTTGCGAGTGCCTGTCGCAAAGAATTATTACGCGCGTCAGCTGCAATTAAACGTCAACAAAACAGAACAATTTATAGCGCGTGCTGTTTCCCAGTTGTGCCGTTAGGGAAACCTTGTTTTCAGCGTCAAGTTTTGTTTCCAAGATGCAAACGATGCTTCCACCACACGGTAGAAAATTTTAACGAAAATCCGAGCATACAACTTAAAGTTGTATTTCTGGCAATCGTATTTTGACCGACGGGCATGGAGGAATTTCCTTGTGGTTATTGACTTTTTATTTTAATAACTTAGAAATTAAAATTTATCACACCTTAAGGCTGCTGCTTTTCTTTCGGTTAAACTTGAACGTTGATAGCACAGTGGTAGAATTGGACAAACTGGCAGCTGGTCCACGAACGCGCGTCTTAAGAACATGTTCGCCATTTACGACATCAATTTTGACGGCATAAGATTTAGATTCTGGGAGGCCTTCAACTTCCAGCCGAGTCAGCGCCACAGTGTACTCAAGTGCTACCATTCCAGTGTAGTCCACCGGTTCAGCTTGGACACTAGTCGGCAGTGGAGGCTCCCCACGGAACATGACGCCCCTCACTGCAAATTCCTGGCCAGCTTCTTTCCATTTCTGTCGCGTTGTTTCACAAGACCTTGATAGCTTTGAACCAGGCTGCCGGTCGTTTACAGAATCGTTGTGGTTGAGCACCTTTCCTAGGACTTCAGTGGTGTCCTTCTGGTATATCAGCGGATGTACCTGATGCGCATGCCAAATGAGATCAAAGTCGTAGCATGGTACGAAGAACAGATCTGGGTTTTGTTGTTTGAGGACGAGGTGCTGTTTATATCGCCCCAATGCTCTAGTCAAGAACTTCTTATCTTCATAATGAGGTAAAGAGACCTGATAGTAAAACACCCTCTGCCGACCGCAGGCCGCTGTGATGTCATACTCAATTCGCGACTCAAAATCAGGCGTGTTACCAACAGAGGCCGTCAGGTCAACTTCGAAAGGTTCACTAGGGTACAACTTCTTCCATAAGATCCTGGCTCTTTCAAGTCCTCTTGTACGTTGCGCTCCGACCAGGATCTTATGATCCACCAGAGTTGAGACAACCTCATTACAGTCTTTTTCGTAGCTGATGGGCGACAACATGTGTACATGCCACACCCAGGCAACGTCGAGAGGTGCTGCGATGTCTTCAGTGACGGACGACTGAGCAAGCAGTGGCAACCAGAACAGTTCATATCTAAAGGTATTACAAACACGGCACGTCAGATCGAAGGAGAGAGTCATTCTACAAACCTGAATTGCATGCATGTATGGAGACATGATTTAGACGAGCAACTGCAATGCTGCATAATTTTTACTACAAACAGCGTTATGGAGAAGAGTTTTGTAAGATACCTATGTTGCAGGCAAGCACGATGATCAAATTTTCAAACTGGAAACCTCCGAAAGCTAAGTCAATCATAGGTTGAAACCTGCTTAGCTTGATTACCAGTCATACTAAGTATTAAGTAATACGTTTCCGGGTATCGGTATGTGAATCAGTGGTGGACAAGTGGTGCAGAAATCACCAAACTACTAGGATCTGCAAGCAGCCTATACCTTCGAATTAAATCATAGTGTTTTCACCTAAATACCATCGACACTTAGAGAAAGTCTTTCATTCATTCATTCATTCATTCATTCACCGATTCATTGCAGTTTGAAATTGCAGTGTGATCGCAGCAAGACGTACATATATGAGCGGACCTTAAGGATATGCAAAGATTGGACTTGAAATTGAAATCATTTGCTTAACTTGAAGTAGACACACCTCCTGATTGCATTCTGAACGTGTGGTCCAGCATACAGGCTTGGATAGGCGTCAACGAGCTGTAAGAACTGACGGTGTTTAAGGGCTGCTTCCACCAGATCGATGCTAAATTGGGCCGTCTTCTCTGCCATCACTATTTCCGCCGATTCACTTCACTAAATAGGAAAGTAACAATGAGATGAATTTGGCTTCCGCAGCTGACAGTTATGGAAAGGGCCGTGGAATGAAAAGACGTGCACGTTTTTCCGAAAAGTTATGCATGGTACCACAGTATCCTATCAAATTTCTATTTCTGTCGTACCATTTTGCAATCAAATTAGATTTGCCGTCCTCTGGAAACATCGCTTACGTACTAGACTTCTCACACCATTGCACATGTTGTGTCGCTGTATCTGGCAGTTTGTTGCTGTGCTTGCTTAAAGACTATTACAACTCTATTGAAAGAACATAATTAATGACCATGCTACAAAGTGTAACCATGCGATACAATCGATATTGGCCCGTGTATTCAGTTGTTCCAGTCAAATGTTTTTGCTGTGTCATTTTCTGAGCCCAAACAACTTCTGAAAACAGACACTAGCGTAGTTTTAACACCAAGGACTAGCCTTAATTTTGGCTGCTGGTGGCCAGCGGCTGTCTTTTTACCTATTATACTACGTCTATTCACAATCCCAACGTTCAAGAGAAAAACTACGGTAATTTCCTAACGACGATGTGATTTATTGAACCATAGAACAACCATGAAATAGAGCCCTCTAAACTTGCATCTAAACTGTACAAAAGCTAATGTACACACCAAAGAGGCGATTTTCACTAAGTTCCGATGCAACAATTGTGCATATTACACTACCCAACAAAGCTCTACGTTCAAGAGAAAATATTTGGTAAATTCCTATAGTGATGACAGTGACTTATTAAAACGCTCAACAAAAATCTTCGATACATCAAGCAAATCAAGGAGAGATAGTACATAATAAACAATTCAACGTACCCGGTACCCTCGGGACACTAGGCGAACTGGTACTCTGGGTGCCAGACGAATTTTTTTTCCAAGGTTCCAAGAGAATGCCGTGCTGGCGTCTGAGATAGAGCCCTGTAAACAGGCCTCAGTGTCGATATTGACAAAGCTGTCGCGCGTGCTAATTCTGTGCTATTAACCGTACCATTGAAACAACAAGATACCACAACGATACGGATTCCAAACGCACAGAATACAAATATATGCCAAACTACGTATCGCACATATTATGTTATTCTTAATATTGACAAGTCCGTCCCAGTCGTTCCAGTCACTTGCTTTTGCTGCGTCATTTTCTGTAGTAGTTTCAACACTGAAGACTGGCTTTAATTGTCCGCTCCAGTTGGCCACCCCTGGTTTTTTACATATTAAACGACGTACTCAAGTCCAACGTTTAAGAGAAAAAAGTAGGATCATTTTCTAACTTTACCATGTGATTTATTGAAGAATGGTGTAACCATGAGATTGAGCCCTCTAAACTTGTATCAACGGTGTTGAAATTCAGAAAGCTATCGCACACACTCATCGGTCTTAATATTGGCTGGTGTATTCCGTCGTTCCGGTCAATTGTTTTTGCTGCGTCATTTTATGTGCTCAAGCACATTTACGGCAACTTGCGAATCTATTTCATGGTATAAAACATGACTGCGAAAGTTGTATTGGCTTTTGGGCGCGCAGTATAGTCTATAACAACCGGTACTTCATTTGGAAAAAGTATCAATCATTTTTACATCACGTAAGACTTCGCTTAGATCAGTTCAGTGTGACCGACCTTATGTTTAATTCTAACATACCCTTCCACAAACTAGAAATACAGCTAATAAATAAAAGTGCGAGCTTATGCTCCCAGAGATTTCTCACTGTAGAAAGCTGAGGGACCTGATCAAGGAGGCTGTTCTTTACTATCATTGTGAAATATTTGCGTTGAAGTAATTTGAAACCTCTCAATGTTGAAAGATCGAGGTAAGATTTCTGCACTGTAATCGCTAAAATCGTAATGTCGTGGGTACCGTTTAGAAAATAAAACGGTTAACAAAAATTAAAATAATGAAAAAATAACAAAAAACTTGAACAGGTTCTCCAAATATTTACACTGAACATTTTTCGTCGTGCATTTTGCGGCCTGCTGGCCTTGCAAAAGGAAGCATTCATTTCATTTTTTTTAACCAGTTTTTAGCTCAAATGCCCTGAGCATTTGGGCGTTTAATCTTTAATCTTTAATCTTTAATCATTATTTATAGACGGTAAAAACATCAGGTAGAAAAAATTACATAATAATGACTAAAAATCCAAATCCTAACATTATATTAACTTACATTAATATGCCACTTAAGAAAAATCCTGGTTTCCATGAAGGCCGTGTTTAAAAATTATGGTAGAGAAGGCGTTTAAATTTGTCCAATGAAGCAGAGTCTCTAATGTTACAAGGTAAGCTGTTCCAAAGGGTACGGCGGCGCCGTAACTAAAACTATTTTTCATGTAATTAGTTCTTGGAAAGGGGACAACAAGTTTGTTTACCGAGTCCCTCAGAGAATAGCTTGATTCATTTCGCTTTATAAATTTAGACATGAGATATTCCGGAACAAGACCGATTAAAGACTTGAAAACCATTAAGGCGTTCTGAATTTGACGTTGAGATTTCAAGTCTTTCCAGCTGAGTTTGTGAAATAAGGAATCGACATCTACGTCATAGTTTGATAAAGTTATAACACGTGCAGCACGGTTCTGTAGTTTTTGTAGCTTTTTAGATAATGTTTTGCCACAATTACCCCAGACAAGGCTGCAGTAATCAAAGTGAGGTTGAACTAGTGAGTTGTAGATATTGAGGTACAAATGGCTTAACTCGCTTTATGGCTCCAACAGCGGAAGCGATCTTTTTACACAGTTTATCAATGTAAGATAATAGCTTTAGCTCTGATGAAGAGGTCAGGACACGACCAACAAATTGAGCAGATTGAGCAGACCAGGTTTGAACAACAGCTGTGTCATGTAACATGATTTGACGTAAGTTCAGATATTTGTTTGTATTTTTTTTATTTAGAGCGTTGGAAGGGAGATTCAGCAGCCTAAGATTCGAAAAAAGATGTCCAAATGCTGTTGTCTATAGTGGTCAACCCGCTCAGCTACAGCTAGTTAGTTCACAGGTATGCCACTTAAACTGAAAGAAACAAATATATATGAACTAATAAGCTATTAGGAAAACAGACCAGTTGGCTATTTACAAGGTTCATCAAGGAGTTGATCAAGGGGCTACGTACTCAGAAACAACTCCAGCTAAGTGATCAGAGCGGGACTTGAATCCGCAGCCTCCGCATTTTAAGTCCGGCGCCCTAACCAATAACCTCAATAGCTGCGATTATTGCGTTATGTTCTTGGATAAGAAACTTTACCGTTACATTCCCTCTCTCCATCAAGGAAAAATAATATTACCGGGAAATGATAAGGCAGCCAAGCAAAACCCTTGAAGGGGAAGGACTATCACGAACTTGCAGCTCATGAACTAGCATCCTATCGAGTAGGCCGAAGTGCCAATAATTCTAATTAGTAGAATTCTACTCGTATACTAATGTAAATGCTGCAGTCTGATTGGCTGGGTTACTCTACACCATCAGCCATTAGAGTGCAGTGGCTGTCGCTCGTCTACGAAATGGCGACGTTTTTCCGTTTTCCCGAAGTTTTGGAGGAACAATTAGATAGAAATGGATAATCAAATTCCCGAGAAGACTAGAAGAAGGTCATTAACGGTGTTTTGATTTTAAAAACTAGAAATTATTGAAAAAACGAGCGCGCGTGTGTAAACAACTGCAAATTTCCAATGTCAGTTCAGTGCGCGCGATTTCGTTGAGGCGAGAAGCTTAATAATACGTAGAAAAATAATTGGAAACCGTAATTTGCGTTTATTTCAGTCAGAATTCTACTAAAACGATTAGATTATTCGCTCTCGATTTCTATGAGGTGATAGTTCATAGAAATCGAGAGCGAATAATCTAATTGTTAATTAGTACATACCGAACCAATGGATAGTGCTTTTCGCGCATTCTGATTGGTTACTCAAACTCGGAATAGTGTTTGCTATTCCGAGCTCGCGCGGCGAAGGTCACATTTTGTGCGCGAACTTACGAAATAAAACCTTTTTTGGCAGTCTCCTGAGTCAATTTTTGCAGATATTTTATCCTACTGGTTTGGTATGTACTAAAACAATTATTCCCCTCAGTGTCTGTGGACTATTGATGGATGTTTACCTCGCCGCTTCGTACGCGTACGCGTGGGACAGTAATTTCAGATGTCAAATTCTACTTTATTAGGACAATTTTATATTTGAAAGAAAGACTGGAGTAATGGTGTCTTCTTCAGAAAAACGTATGTTACTTTCTCTTCTCTGCATCATGCTTGTAGGTAACAAGCCAACCCTTAACGGTCTTTTGTTCTTTTACAAATTCCCCAGAGCCCTTCTAGTTTCCTAGCCTGTAGGGACAAGGACGATATATCGGGATGAGGCATGATTCCTCAAGCAGATGCAAAGGTACCGCTACTCTACTTATAGATTAGATAACTTATTTTAGAATCAATCATTTACCGCTTAATTTCCTGCCAACAAAATAACCACTGGCAAAATTAAATTGCATTTATCACTGACAAAGTTCATTTCTACCATCTGTTCTTGATCCTAAGTCAACTACAAATAACTGAAACATTTGGCATATTATTAGTAATCCTTGGTCTCTCTTGATATAGCTAACACTTATGATAAACTTTCTATATAAAGGAAATTAAGTAATTAACCAAAATCTACTAAATACCAACCTATTTTCCACATGTGATCAGTATACAAAGGATCGCAGCAGTATTCACATTATAAAGCCCATTCTAACTACCAGAAAAACTGACGCTATTTCATAGATTGAATACATACTAAACTTGTGCAGGCATCTACAATAACAGTATTTCTCTGTTTTATAGTCCATAATGAGTTGAGATCGTTTCTACATGACTAAGTCATGAGTGTCTTGCTATCATTAATATTATCGTATCATAACAAATTTAGGTCTTGGTGGCCTTGATATGTTGACCGTGTCTGTTTTGATCTCCTTATCAGCCACAGCCACAACCACAACCACAACCTCAACCACAACCACATGCACAACCACCGCCACATCCACAACCTCCACATCCACCACACCCACCGCAACCTCCACATCCACCACATCCACCGCAGGCACCTCCTCCAGTTTTATACTTGATGTAAGAGTTGGTCGGTACACTGTTAGCATAGTACCCTGCTGCCACTACCAACAGGAGGTCCTGGTTGCGGATGATGCGTGGTTTCACGATTTCACATGACGCAGTTTCTGATGGTCTCATGTAGCTGGCCTTATCTGTCGGGGAATATGGGTGGCACAAAAGATGAAGAATGGCTATAGAGAATCCAAGTGCAATTGCCTCCGGTACACCGTGTACCTCTGGTGGAAAAGAAATCATGCCAGTTCGCAGGTCAACGACGACTGTCGTCTTCTTGCCAAGGCCTATCGAGAACTTGTCTCCTCGTTTCTCTACGGGTTTCCACTCGCGCGTTCCAAAAAGAGAAAAGAACTTTATGGACAGACGTCCAGGTTGGCCCTTTATGCCAGGAGTTCCCCTGACAATCGGGTTACCTGGCGTTCCTTCCACCCCAGGCACACCAGGAACACCCTTAACAAACTTCTTCCATTTGCCAACGCAGATACCCCAGTCTTGGCTCCCTCTTATAAGGATTGCTCTTTCTCCCGCCATCTCATCCATGGTGCAACATTTCTCTGGATTGTTCACTTGCTCTCTCATCGGAAGTATGTCACCCCGGATGAGATGCACCGTACTCACAACGCGACCGGCATGGTTGATGACTTCCACGGAAGAGAACAGCAGCTGAGCGGAGTGCATAACTCGGTAGGTAAACACTTCTCGTTGGCCATGGTCAAATAGCCGATTCATTGACAATGCGCAGGACGTTGAAGAAGACTGAGCTAAAGACAACGGAGAGAGGATTAGCGTTGGCGAGCTCAAGATCTGGGCTGGATGCTGCACTGTGCTGAAATCAGTCTTCTTTGGTTTTACCATGAAGATGTACTTCTCAAGTCTAGGTGGATTGGCCACGGTAGTAAACCGAACGATGACATTTTCAGCAATCGCTAACTCGTGGGTTACTGGTTCAAGCTCCACGGCGCTGTTGTAGGGGTCTCGGCCAACAAGACAGCTCAGAAACAGGTATTGGGCAGATTCATCGAATGACGGCGTAACGCAGGAACAACGTCCTTGTTGGCAAATACGAATCTGAAAAAAAAAAAAAGAGTAAAATGAATTAAAATAGGCCTGTTCTGTAAGTTGCTTGAGTGAATGAATCTCTGAAGGTCATTACAAGTATTACTGATGATGGTGATTAATTTTCGTTCCCAAGTGACCGGGTTTGAGCCCTGGCCAGAGACATTGTGTTGTGTTCTTGGCCAAGGCACTTTACTCTCACGGTGCCTCTCTCCACCCAGGTGTATAAATGGGTACCGGCGAAGTTAATGCTGGGAGTAACCATGCGATGGACTAGCATCCCATCCATGGGGGAGTAGAAACACTCCTAGTCGCTTCATGCTACAGAAACCGGGATAAGCGCCGGCATGATGGGCCACTTGACTCGTATGCAGACTTAGCCTTTAACCCGGGGAGCGAATGAGATGAACTGGCGGTCTCGAAAAAGACTTAAGGGCTAAACCAGCTCCTCTCCCCTCCCAAAAACATATTAATACAATTTAATTTGAATATTTTGCGTTCAAAGACATGGTAAAGGCATTTTGTCCTCAATTTCTACTTTCTGCATTGTCTGAGATTAATTGCTGTGCTTTCAGCCAATCAGTTTGCTGAATTTTTACATGATAATTATTAGGCATAACTTAGGTACGGGTAAACATTTCAAAGGGAAACAAAACTTTTAGTCTTTGAAAGTGCTTATTTATTCCAAATTGTACCAAGATAATCATGTGGTTACTTGTTAGTACATACACTTGAAAATACACTTTTTAAGGTGGCTCCATACGGTAATCATTTATCCAGTCGCGCACCCTAGTGTTATATTTTGAATACTGTTTTTGCATTCCCAGTCCTTTCAAACGTAATAAGCAATGATGTAATAGCGAAGCTTCGGCGGCCCGAAGGGCCACCAAGCGGAGCCCCGAACTCATAGAAACCCGTGAATCAATTTTTTTCGTTGTAAAAATGCCTTGCAGTATTGCTCTTGGGCGCGTACACACGACGACGACGAGCATGTCGCACAACATTGTGGCCGTTAACTCCAGCTAATAGAACATGCGGCCTTAGTTAACAGCGTGCAGTATCCATGTTATGGTCAATTGACAGCTGTCAAAGGAACTTAAATCAGTTTTTATCCTGACAAAGTCTGATTTATCTTAGAAGTTTGACTTAAATAATAGTACAGTTATATGTACATCCAGACAACCTGGATGGTCCTTTGGTTGGGACTGTGCATTGTTGTAGTGCAATGTTCCAGTTTCTTGTTTAAAGCAACTTACATTTAAATTGCTCAAGCAAATTGCCAAGTTCATAACAGTTAGTTTGCATCCCTGGGCAGAACCTACCACTGTGACAGTTTGGTAAGTACCTCCCCCCCTAGCACTGGATTCACAACCAACATTCAGTAAGCAACTAACAATGAAGTACACTGTATATCAATGGAAGGAACGTCATCTGTTGATGTGCAAAGATTATGATAAATTATAATTGATGTCTTTGTATGAATAACAGTGATGATCAAGTAGCAGCTACAGTACGATTACACCCTTGTCCCTGTCAGTAAATATATTAACAGTGTACACTTGGACAGCCTGGATTAAAAAATTAAACATTTTCAAAGTAACCATGGCCAGGTATGTTATTTCTGAAGGAATATAATTTTAGATCCTTGATTTCTTGAAGGCATTGATTTTTGTTGTAAATAATATCTCATAGAGTGTATGTTCCAGCTGTAGGCATTGTTACGTTGCAGAACACAGAGACCATTGTTATATGACAGAGATATTAATGTGTGAAAAGTTCTATAAACAATTGCATGGGAACAAATTGATTCATCATAGATGCTGCTTCTGAGTGTTCCCCAATGTTAATGGAAACATACCCTGTACATTTAAGAGTGCCTGCCTGTAAAAATCAGACAAATTCTTAATTTCGCGGCAAGGGTCGAAAATTCGATTTCGCTCATATTCTTGTGGTAGATAGGCT